TAAATTCGTATTACATTGACACCTAAAAACCGCCATAACATTTTATACGCCTGGCGTTTCTAGAAATTCCAAAAATGAGTCGTTAAAATTATTGTTTTGGTAATCACAAGTGTTCTGTCTCACATGTAACTTGCACGAGAAGAATTGTGTTAAGTAAATGATAACATCATTGATGAACTTACACAAGTTTCACATTTGACCAAATTTATTGAATTATAACTTTCTAAAACAGAGAAATATTTATCATTCATAGATTTTTGTAACTCCGCTCTTCGACGGAAACGTGAAAGTCAACGAAATTACGTAAGTTTTCAAATTCGATAAACTGTGGCAACATGAACTCTATGTTTTCTGAAGAACTTATCGGCCGCACTCAAAGATGTCAATTAACTAGCATTATGTTAGATTCTTTTCAACCATCGGGTTCTAATTCGGTTACATTTTTTTCTGTTTGCTACCGTTATTTATAAACTGATTTAAAATATTATTTATGTTTTGGGTTTAGCATGGCTCCTATAAGTTCCTATTAATTTAATTGTTATTGAAGCTTGGACTCCGGAGATATGTCATGATTCTCCTCAAAATAAAATAGAAAATTTATATTGAGTGAGATATTTGAAGTCGGTTATGTTTTTGTTAATAAAAATATTTTACTCTAGCTTGTTACAATAAACATATATTTAAATAATAATAGGAGATCATTTTTGGAGTGTCTTTTTTATGACAAAAACTAAAATGTTTCACATTTTTAAAAATGATATTATACAGCATGGTGTCATAACCGCGAAGTTAAATAAACACACTTCTAACGCTACTTGACAATAATCATAAAAAAGTTAAAAAAATCCATAATTAAAAAAATATCTTTTCAAAAAAACTAATTAAATAAAAAAGATACAAAATTTGTAACATCCTATACAACTACAACTGACTGATTCATATATTCAGAGACGTTTTCATTCAGTGCCACAACTTCGCATTACAAGTCTCTCCTTTTAACAGTATGTTTTATCTCTTTTAAATTCATTCAACAGATTCAGATGTTTTGTTACAAATTTTAATTAATTAACCTTATGTTACAGTTTTAAATGTATATATATATATAAAATATTTCATCAATATTATGACAGAATATGATACTCATCAGAATTGTCCGAGTTGACAGCTGAATATTATCTTCATATCATTTGTTTTCGGCAAGATTCCACAGTAGTGTAAGTGTTAAAACCATAAAAAAGCGACATTCCACTTAACCTTTAACTCTAAAGGCAAAGACACAAAACCGCCAAAACCGGTAGCGGAACTAGAGTCTCATGACAAAGGGCTTCTACTATTTATATTTTACTGAGCTCGTAGAGTCCAAAAATTCTTTTTAGGTGTCTTGTGAGGGATGATAGTATACTTTTAGTCATGACAACTCCGTGGAGCCGGATTTAAAATCGGCACAAATTATTAGTCATATAATTCCAAAGTACCCGGAGGACCGAGCATTGCTCGGTTTGTTTTTTTTTTGGTAAATCGTGTATTTTGGAAATTACATTTAGATACAAATTACTGAGTAATGAAATAAGCATAATATTTTTCGATCTTACCGACGTAATAATAAGAAAATATGAACTGAGTTTTTCACAAAAGAAAGAACTTTAAAAAAAAAGGGAAAAGAATAACAAAATCGACAAAAAATTAAAAATAAAGAAAGCAATGATCTGGAATCGAATAAAAAGTAAAAAAATAAATGTGTAAATGATCGTGACGAGAACCACAGCCATCTGATTTGGGGTCGCCCAATTAATGACCGAGCTATTTTGACATTTTCTCTTGTGGCGAAATTTACCGTGATATTCGAATTATATTTTTCATTCCCTGAAAACAGAGATAAAAGGACATTTTCTAAAAATGAAACCTAGCTAGATCGATTTTTCGCCCCCGAATCTATGCACATACTAAATTTCATGAAAATCGCTGGAGCCCTTTCCGAGATTCCGATTATATGTATATATATATAAGAATTGCTCGTTTAAAGGATAAGATAATCTTCTTTAGAGGCAACTCTTGCCAACTCGTCCTTGGTGTAATTTACTTTAATCTTTTCTTTCAATAAGAACCAGTAATCAATATTATTTCTAAAGTGCGTAGATGTTTTAAGACGACAATCGTAGTAAAACGCTCTAAACTATGCTATAATTTTGAACCGTTTATTTTGGTCATTAGCATATCGCGCAGTGTATTTCTTTTGAGTCATCGCTCAAGAAAAATCTTAAATAAATACTTAAACGCAGCACGATGAAGTTATGATCCTCGTGTGTTTTAGAGTAAACTGCTGACCCCGTAAAATCCTACGAGTGACAGCAAGACCTAAAAGGAAGAGGACTGTTTTTTTGCTATGCACGTTTTCTAGCCACCTGTGCACGTATTGTGTGCATTTGTGATCATATTGAGACCTTCATATTGTTTATTTCTAAACAACTATATTATAAACACGATGAATTTACAATTCAAAAATTATTGCCATTGTACTGTTGGTGTAGCCATTATGGCCGAAGCGGTCAAGAATCATTAAAGGTCGAACTAATATTAATAAGGATTTTAATGAAATATTTTTATTACTCGTTTGTGGGTGTATTTACTTTGTGTGTAAGTCAAATTGTGTGGGTAAGTATACCTTTAAATTTATTACAACAATACAAATCTATACAACCCCCTGACAAAAAGTTTACAGGAGCTATTTTTTGAAAAAATTCCCAATACTTCATACATAAATGAAATTGGAAGAGTAAGAGATTGTCAATTGCTGCGTAAATAACATTGCATGTTATAATTAATTAATGCAAATATCATACTATTTAGCCGTGCGCTAAGGTCGAATCCGAGACGATGATTAGTACATAGGTTTTACATATACGCGTGTACGCCTTAAAAGTATATGGAGCTAAGGCAAACACATCATTGGATAAAGACTGTTTTATTACACATATTGATCCGAATATTCATTTTTGGAATAGCGCTCGTATAAGTTCAAGGAGAAACGTGAAAACACTCGATACGAAATAACTAAGGTGGCTAGATAGTCCTGCACCATGTAGTTTGGTATCTGATGTCGGAGAATCCACCCCTAGGCTGTCAGATCCAGTCCCTTTGCATCTTTGGGGATAACACAGTTTTGCGGTGACTTATCTTGTTCGCTCATGAGTTCCTGACATCGGAATATCAATTTATTATTATGGGAAGCTACTAAGAGCTACTCATAAACATTTTTTTTGTATGTGTGAAAGTGGCAAACGAGCTGGCGGTACATCTGATGTTAAGTGACCGCCACTCATGGATATTCGCAACACCCGTAGGGTTGCAGATGCCAGATGCCTTTAAATAGAGCGAGCCCCGGCCACCTCACTCTCCAGACGAAACGCAGAAGTGTAACAGTTCTACGCACGTCTGTGATGTCGTGGTTCTTGACAAGACCTGCCCATTCGTGCAACAGCGACTACTGTTGCATGGCCCTACCACCTTAAACGTTTGGCTTTTTATCTTGACTTGCACAAATGCAACGGATACCAACACTGATAATACTTGTAAAACTTGAAATTTAATGTATTTAGGAAGCAAAATAATATTAACGTGAGTGACTTTTAAAAATTTGCCGTTTATGTCCCTAGAAAATTGGCAAATTATTCATTTTGTTTTCTATGCACCACCTTAAATAGTAACGGTAAGGAATAAAGTTGTGTTTGAATAGTTATCTTAATAATAAGAAACTAAAATTGAGCCTTTAGTCCGTTTCCTGTGCAAATGGCAACGATTGCAGAAACTTGTTCTTAGTTGACGCAAGAAATTAGCGTTTCGCCGATTTTGTTGAGTATGATAATGAAGTTTCCGAGGCTGCGTAAAGTGTAAAGGGTATGTTTTTATTTATATGGTGTGACATGTAGAAGGTATACTTTAGAGGTTTTATTAACTAAATAATATTCTAAACCAAAGCATATGTTGGACGACAGCATTCATTAAAAGATCACCGAGAGAAAAAATCATACGTCGTATTCATAAGCTGGCCCAAATGTAGTATCCAATTACTTTATTAATATTAAACTCAAAATTCAATATAAATAATTCATTTTGATGGCCATGTTCACATATTACTAAAATAATTACATAATTTGTTCGTTGGTTTGCTTAAATGAACACGCAATATAAAACAGACAATTGGAACAAATGACAAAAACATGTAGGTATGACCCTACAAAAGCGGGCTTTACCCAACGACATACCCAAGGCGGTTTCAATATTCTATTTTCAGATAGATTTGTTTACTGGAGATAGAATTTTGAGGTAGGTAAGGTAAGAGTAAATAGATATTTTTGCATTAAGACCATTATGTCTTAATGCAAAAATATCTATCGCTAGTAAACAAATAGATAAAATATTGAAACCGGCAATAAAGAAAGTTCTCTTCTCGCAGACCCTTGAAAGCAGGTCACAAGATGAATGTAATAATATTAGGTAACTAGATGAATGTGATTTTTGTGAAGGATTATTAACAAATTTACTAAAGTTACCACAGAGTATATTTTTGCGAAAACTACCTGTGTTTATACTTCTGCGTTTAGTCTGGTAAGTAAATTATACAGAGCCCACTTTTTCAAACCAATAGGATAGTAGATATCCAGGGACGGTTGTTATCACTTAACCTCAGATGAACCACCAGCTCGTTTGCCACTTTCTCAGATAACAAAAACATCCCTTCGGATGTTATGAAGCAGGGGTTTATAAGTTATCATTTAGTCCCGGTGGGAGTTTTACAAAATTTTGTACCATTCATTTAAATGCTCTTAAATAAATTCTGTAAATCTTATCTACATGCGGTTTTAATTGTTTTCAGTATGCAATTTTTTTTTTCTTTACAGTGAAAATAAATACGAATTTAAGCTAAATTCGTGTGGAATTTACTTTAACGCAGTGTATGACTTTGTACAAATGTCTATTGCGGTAGCCGCAATTATCCTTACCTTGCAAGAGTTGAATGTTTTCGTCGACCTCTGGTAGCAAATGCATAAACGTCGTCGCGAACAAAACGCCTCCGCCGAAAGACAGCAGCCCGACCACCAGTTGGTTCGACGACTTCATATTAGACGTCCGAGTGAACCAGTTGAACTTCATTGAAATCAACATTGGCGCGCATCCGAATACCATGGACACGCTGAAGAGAGTTACCATCGTGATAATCTTCGCTCTCAGCACGTCCCCTTCGTCTACGTTGGCTGTCGCTGCGATGTCCATGGTTTGTATCAGTTCAGTTCGACCCGGAGCGAGGTACGTCATGTATTGGTCGAATGTATGCCGCGCGATCGCTCGAAATCCCGTGTTGGAGGCGTTGTTCTTACGACGCCCTACTCAAGACTGAGCCACGAGCGTCCGCAAGTGCAGTGCGAGCTCTTGATAACGAATTCATTCTTAATGATAAACATGACAGCTGCTGTTTGTCATCCGTCGCGTCAATCAGGCATCGCCGCTCCCGTGTCTGGGAGGAACGCTGATGCAAATGTATATTACTGTCTTCACAGCTTCGCGCGCATACGCACACGCGTAGATAGTAGCGTTAGATTCAATTAGAATTGTCCGGGAGTTAACACGTTTATAAGATTTCCATTTACGTTATTGTTTGCTAAGCAATAAATCTTATCGTACCTGTACTTGACGTGTTATGTGAATATTAATATATTAAAACAAAGCATTAACAAAAAATTACAATTTAATAATTTACTAATGTAATTTATTTTTAAGCTATTGCATAGCTTTTATCCGACGACCGAATCACGAAGGTTCGTAACGCAAATAAAACCTAACACTCCGCGCACCATTTAGCTCGCCCGAGCGTTCGCTTAACGTGTATGTATATGGTACGAGTGTACGAAGCTCGCACGGATGTATATTATAATATTATATTATCATATGATGATATGATATTTAGAGGATATCAAGCCTCTTATGTATCTTAGGTTTCTTATTTTATTTACCCTGAACCTATAGTTTCAATGATAAAAAAATCCTGAATAACCTACATGTACTGTAAGATAACAAAAATATTTTAAACTTCCAATTTATTCAATAAAAGAAAAAAAAATGTTTTCTTATCGGTCACCACTCTCAACAAGTGTAACTTGAATAAATATCAAAGAAAAAAAATTGCATAAATAATTATAATTGCATAAGTTGAAAAAAAAAATGCTATACAATAGCTTTACCGAGGCAGTCCCCGAAACTGCCACAGTCAAATTAGAAATGTATAATTGAAACAATTTCAGAATTACGAGAAAGGTAAATCTTAAAACTAGATTAAGATTGAGAATCTCGCGACAAGCTTTTATATTATCATTTAGTAAAGTATCTATATTTATCATTTAATAAATTGTGTAAATTGTTTGGTTTGATTTAATTTCAAGCTTATTTTCTTCTTTTTAGGATAATTAAATAAAAGCTTGTTTTTTTTGCCATTAATTTATTTTTATTTCTATAACTCGAGACCTTGAATCCAAGTTTCGGTGACGGCACTAAGCAATTGTTTACAGCAATGTTTTGTGCTGATTTAAAACGTGGTAATTTTGCAAAAACTTCCTGTGGAAACAAAATGAGAAACTTTTTCAAAATTATTCTAATGTATTTGCGTTTATACATTAGAAAATTTTGTATGTTGTATTGTATTTTAAGTCTTTTATCAATCTTATGTATTCAAAAAAATTTGTCACTTTATTTCGAGCCTACATTAGGATCTCTTAAAACTTGAATTTCTTCAAGGCAGGTTTATCATAAGCTGCTGCATTTCCACTTACCATGAGGTGGGATTGCTCAAACCAGTTTTTACTATAAAAAAGTGGGACTTTCGTTGAGACTGAGACTCTACTTATTTTACTTTAACTGACGTTCTTGCTTTCAGTCCGTAGACTATTAAACCTTCATCAAACGCAAAAGTGACGGAAAGCCCAATCTCACGAGCTTGATAAGCCTTCCGCATTGAGTAAGGCCACGCATGTCTTCATACGTGCTATACAGCGACCAAGAAAATCTAGAAAGGTAAGTCTATATTTCCAAAACCAAATACATATAAATAATTATATGGCTTTGTGGAAACTTGAAATCCTGTAAATAGATACACGCGTCTTTTAATCACAAAAATATTAACATCTACCATTTTTTTCCTTTCTTTCTTTATTCTTTATTGTACACAGAGTATAAGAGAAAAACAAAATTACAAAAAACAAATAATGTGCAAAGGCTAGCTTAACCCTAAAAAGAGTTTTCTTCCATTAAACCCTGACATAACATTAGAACAATATATAAATTATGATAGGTAGGTGTGTAAAACTAGATATACTTATACTCTAAACTCTAAATATAAGATAAAATAAATTAAGAAAAAAAGTACCTAACCAAAATTATAAAACGTGTTACACTATAAAATAACATATAATAAATAATACTATAAAATATGTAAATATAAAAATAACATACTAATATTTTATATATAGTAATATTAAGTAATATAAAGTTTTAATGTAAACATACCAATGATTTTCTATGCCGTTATGGGGATAAAAAATGTACTTTCACTCTTCAACGGAAAATTTCAAGCGATGAACTGGCACGTATGCAGTGGGGTAGCGAGTTCCATAGCTTAACCGCCTTCACAGTGAAAGATTCGCTATACCGACAAGAAGAATGGCAAGGAATTTTGAGAAGTGATTTGTTATATCGGCATTGAGTTCCGCGCGGAACGAGATACTCAAAGCGTTCCCGAAGATATGGAGGATCAAGAGGATTAAACAGTAAAAAAATTAGCCGTCATGGGACGCCTGGCAGATGTGAAACATCGACATTATTTTGTAAAAGTAATATGCAGAAAAGAACAGATTGTGATAGGAACTAAATATGTCATAATAATAAAATAAAATATTACGATTTTTTTCCCGATAACGATGACTATTTATTGAATAAACATTTATTTTCATTATACAAAAATTTACGAATTTATAACAAATCGTGACTACTTAATTCGTTTAATCAGTGACTTCGGTAATAGTTATATTCGATGTTGCCTCTGAGGACGGTATTACTGTCACAATTGGTCCATGGTAACTGAAGTATGAAGTATGTTACAAAAGTATTGGACATAACATGAAAATATGAAATATAAAATGATGTCATTTATTTTTTTTATTAGGAGAAATGTACACAACAATCATCATCAATTCACTTCCATCTTCTAGTTTAATAGATGTTTCTCCACGGCATGCGTCGCCACGCTAGAAATGCGGTTTTACGTGCGGCTATAGATGTTTCACATCAAAAAGTAAAGGAAAGAAAGGATATGTAGATCTTGACGTTTATGAATAGAAATCCATTTTAATGGCACCCTGAACTCAGAAACATGATCAAATTTACGGAGTCCAAAGATGAATCGTATGGACAAGTTCTGAAGGCGTTCCAACTTGTTCAATAATACCTCCAGACCGTCAAGGAAACAAACATCAGCATAGTCAATTATAGGAAGTAGAAGTGTCTCAGCTAAAGTAATCTTTGTTTTCAAAGGCAAAAAGAATTAAAAACGTTTGAGGGATTGAAAAGAATAGTTTACCTTTTTACTTATAGTATTAATGTGAGATACCCATGACAAGTGAGTATCAAAGACAACTCCCAAGTTTTTAGCAGAGTCTGAAAAAGGAATTTGAACATTGTCATAAACCATAGCAGGAAACTTGGAATAGTCTATTAATTTCAGGTGTTATGAACTGCCGATTATTAAGACTTGCGATTTCGTGGGATTAACAAGAAGACCGAAAGACTTTGCCCAACTACTAATGCTATTCAAAGCAGCATTCAGCATTGTGATAGCTTCTTCTGCATCCTCGATTTTGAAGTGCCGATATAGCTGTAAATCGTCAGCGTAAAGATGACTAGGTAACTAAAGTATCAATAAAAATGGAGAAAAGAAGTGGAGAAAGAACGCTTCCCTGAGCGACGCCAACAGTGATATCACTCCATTCAGAAAAGTTATTGTCATGGCGAACACACTGTGAACGCCCACTAAGGTAAGAATTAAACCAAGAGATTACAGGGTTAGAGACACCTAAAGATGAAAGAATTCCCAATATCATGATCTACAGAATTAAATGCACTAAGTCCAATAGAATTAAAATTGTGGGACATTTATTTTCCATAGCCCAGCGTATATCATCTCATTTTTATTTTAATTGGTAATTTCAATTCTTTTCAAATTTTATAGGTACGTGCCATATCTGTTATTGTTTTTTAATAATATTGAATTTTCAAATAAGTAAATTAAATATTAATATTTATTTTACTTCCAGACGATTGTTTATCTACTTGATTAAGTATTACATACTAAAGCCCGGTTTCTGAAACACTGATCATTGTAGAACTCAACTATTCAGCTAGCGGGAACACGTAGATACAATATACAATCTTACGCGACCCCAGCGGGACTCCTTTTTTTGGGTCACCTCTTCTAAAACGACCCTCTCACAATACCCATATTGAGCAAGAGACACCGCCATGCCTGCCGCTAGGGGCCTCACTATCAGTGGGGACGGTTGAGTCTCCAGCAACATCACTGACACACCAGATTTTTTTTTTAATTATTATTATTTTTTTTTGTTACTGGATGAGGCACTGTTGGCCTTAGGGGCCTTTACAGTTCCGACGGACTTGAGGTGGCCTGGCGCACGAGGCGCCTAGCCTGAACCTCGGCGTACTATTATTACGCGTTATGGTGACTAAGCTCGAGGGCTCCCGGGGGAGCCTCGATTCGGGCCGTCACGCTATTATTGTTACCGGTTTGGGAGGCCGCCAAGCTCTTAGGGCGCTTTGGCGGGCGCTCCATGGAGTGATCAGGCTCAAGGGTCCCCGAGAGGGGACCTCGGCTTGGGCTGTCACTCAGCACGCGTTTAGCATTCCGATTCGAGGGTGCCCGAGAGGGCCGGACCTCGGCTCGATCGGTAGCTATTATCTGACTGGGACACACCAGACGAAAGACAAAAGTATAAATACCATTAATTTACTCCAAGACAGAAACAACTACAAAATATTTCTTAATCTATCGAAGAATTACATGAAATGTATTTTAAAATCAAGAAAAGAAATGGGTGCTGCATAAAATGTGTTACAGACGACTGTTACTTATGATAAAAGGCTTTTGGTGATCAATGGAAACTAACGTTATAGCACTTCAACAAATAGCTAAGTGATGTCCTTGGCATGAACTACGGACGCACAATAGTCAAACAGTAAAACTATAAATATTGATGATTGATATTTATTATGTAATTTTTTAATGTTGGGTCCATCGGCGGAGCCCCGAATCTACTTCCTTATCCTCTGCCGCAAGCGGACGGGGTTATTGGATTCCGTTCTGCGGAAATGTTACTGTAGCTTATGTTTAAATTTTATAGAAATCCCCATAAATTGACAGAGGACAAAAATAAATGGAGGCCGATGAATATCCGTCCTGTAAACCGCTAAATACTCTGAATAAAAAAAAACTTAAGTTTAGGCATATTTTTTATTTTGTTATTATTCAAAGCTAGTAGGCCTTTACAGAACAAATATCTGCCTGTAATTAATTTTTGTCCTGTACTTAGTATTAATACTAACAATTCATGGTCAAATAATAGACTCCACCACAGTCACACAAATCAATTATAAAAATTCATGGCGCTTTTCCGAATTTATGACACAGTAACGCCATCTGGGTAGATTCTTATTTATGAACACTACCTATGTCCTAAACATTGAGATTCTACTTTGTACTCCTCCTTATTTTGTACAAAAAAAAATTAAAAGTTATTATTTTTGACAATTATGTACTTAGATTATTTTTTCTATACACCTAAGTTTTTTTATATTAATATAGACAATGTGAATATTTAAGAAACTAGCAAAATCATTAAATCAACATGGAAAAAAAATTAAATGTGCCTTTTAATACATAACCTATCCAAGCTATGAAGAAAATCAAAACAAATAGACTAAAATGCGTCGAAAGCAAATGCTTCTTATAGCATTGATTTTACTAAGTCTTGTAATTTGGATTTATAGAAGTTCAGAAACCCAATACAAAAGTGTAATTGCTGCAATAGAAGGAACTAAATATATTAAGAATTTCCTTATTGAACCAAGTTTTAAGAGTTTATGTTTCTGTATGTTTATTTTTATACATGTAACACCACAATTTAAGCTTAACATTGCCACAATTTCTAAAATTTTGTTTTTACAGCAAATTGTTTCTTCATTATATTGGTAACTTCTTATGTGGGACATGTTGAACTAAGGAGTGCTCACAGGAGAGCTATACCAACAGACTTTTTGAAGACAATAAATGCAACAAGAATATTCCTCTTAGCAAAAATTCCAAAAAATGAAAAGTATGCATTATTTTTATATCAATTGTTTCAATAGATTTCATTCAATGTACATACATGTTAATCATAATTTTTCTACTAACAACAGCTGCCACAATCTGTTTAGGTTCTATTAATCTAACATTTTTGCAGATATATTACACAAGAAGCCATAAATGATGAGAATAATATTTACGGTGATATTTTACAAGGTTCCTTTTTGGAAGACTATAGAAACCTAACATACAAACATCTTATGGGTTTGCAATGGGCATCAACACATTGCAACAACATTCCTTTCATATTAAAAGTTGATGACGACATAGTATTTAATATAAATCACACTTATAACTTCATTAAATCATTAAAGAGTGAAGAAAATGTACTAATGGGTTATATTTTAAATAACACAATTCCGAAAAGAAATAAGCAAAACAAATGGTATGTTACCAAAGATGAGTATCATAGAAGCATCTACCCTCCATATTTATCAGGCTGGTATTACATAATTTCAACAAAAATAGCACATGCCGTAACTCAAGAGGCACCAAATCACCCTCAATTTTGGATAGATGACATCTTTGTCACAGGAATATTATCTGAAAGCCTTGGTATTCAATTAAGGCAGTTGCCCAGTGGTTACTGGCTAGAATATTATGAGCTTCTAGAATGTTGTATTAAGGATATGATCATAAAATCATTACAATGTAATTATGTCGTTGGACCAAATGGCGGGAGAAATAACTTAATTTTTGAATTCAATGAAGCCTTGCAACAGTGTGAAAAGAAAAATTGTACAAAAAGAACAATAGATCAAGATTTAAACAAAGTATGTGTTACATATAAAGACAGAACAATTTTTAGTAATGGAAAAGCCGAGATAGTATATGTAAAGTTATAGTAAGATAGTGTTATGGTATAACTGCAGAATTATCAGGTTTAACAAATATGTTTTAACAAAGGGTTGTTATAAACTACTGTGTATTCAAAAAGGAATAAAAAAGATAGAATATAAAAAATACTTATATTATATTTTGCTAATAATGTCGTCATCTTTAATAATGCACATTGCATTTGATTCTACAAACAAAACTACTCCATCCAATATATCATTGTATAAAAACATTTTATGAATATTGATATAAAAACTGGATTGACTTGGATATTGGCTCAACAAAATAATATAATAAAGATAATAAATAATATATATAAAGATAAAAATAATATAATGAGTGGCAACAACACATTGTAAGTTTCACTATCCCTATATTATTAGGCTTACTATTTCTATACAATGTAATAAAAACCTATTTTTTCTTTATTAAACTATTAATACCTGATAACTTTCTCCAAGTACTGACTACAGAACTTTAATTAAAATATTTTTTTATTAAAATGAAGATTTTAATTTAACATATATTTTATTAAACCCAAAAGTAGGACATCTCTTTCATGTTTGTAATTAAATGTCATATCTTTTTTTCACATGACCTTTTCCATTGATGGTATACAGTTATTAAATTATTATATTAATTGGTATATAGTAATTAAATTAATTCAACCACTTAATAATTATGGCACAATTCATTTATACAGCGTGTCGTTACCATCGCGACAATAAATGAACACACATATAGGCGATAAATTTTTAAAGTTGTATTAAACATTTAAATTCTTTAAACATCAATATTTACAGAGTTATTAAATTTTCCAAATCAAAGAATGTTAGAACTCCCTTACCTATAAAAGCATAACGTAAAGTTCATTTGTAAAGGTCACAAAAGCATATGAATGTGTTGAATGAATTTAAAAGAGACAAAACATACTGTTAGAAGGAGAGGCTTGTAATACGACGCTGTGGCGCGAGTTGTATAGGATGTTACAAATTTTGTTTCTTTTTTACTTAGTTAGTTTGAAAAATATTTTTTTTTAATTATGGATTTTGTTTAACGTTAATATTTTTTTATGATTATTGGCAAGAAGCTTTATGCGTGTGTTCATTTATTGTCCCGATGGTAACGACACGCTGTATATAAAATTTTCAAACCTGTATTCTTACCACTATTCATATATTCAGAACTTTATTACTAGAATAATGTATTCATAGTCATATCCTGTCCTTGCTATCCTCCATTACTCAATTGTTCTATATATTATATTGAAATAAATATTGATAAAGGATATAACATTGGGCTCAGTTAAAAACAATTATGCTACATAAGTTTTGTCAACTTTTGTCACAATTTTAGCCACTTATTTGTAATAGAGCTACCACTTACTATACAATCCTTAAAACCTTTCATAACATAACTAGATTGATACCAAGTCATTTTATCGGTTGATTCTATTTCACTATAATCATTATCCTCACAATTTTCATTTTTACTTATTTTTAAATTAAGTAATCTCTTACTTACAACCTCGTCAAATATTTGGAAGCCATTGCAACAAGAGAGATTTTCATTATTTGTTGTAAAATCCATAATGATTACTTTGGAATTTCTTGGCAATCTGTAACCATTAATTTTAACAAAACTATCACTGCAGACAAGACCATGGTTGTGTATATTTTTCTTCTTTATTAATACAAACATATTTGTTGGTGGCAATAAGTTGAAAAACACTTTGCTTAACAGATCTGATGTTACCAAAGTCCTGGAAAAAATGAAAATCATATGAATATATTTACATAAGACACCCAATTTTTAATAATTCAAATCTAATTTAGATATAAACAGAACAAATAAGGTTACTGGGCTTTTTATGCTTCACAAAAACACAGATGATCCTTCCAATAATGATCTATCAGGTCACCAAAAGCGAATTTGATAGAATGGCTTAACTTTAATTAATACCTACTTAAAAACACTTCTCTGAATCTTCTGATCAGAGGCTATGAAAGATGAATGGCACTGTGGTTTATGGCACAAGTTTGGTAGAAGAAGTCGGTACACTTCCTTACAAGTTACTGGGGTGCCTCCAAGAGCAATACACACTTCTTCTGGCACAGCAGGTCCTTCAATCTCCTTAAGCAGGCTCTAGAAGGGACGTACAAATAATTGTTTAAATCTTGGTGCTATTGTTTAAAATTTATTTTAATTGAATTACGGAAGAGTTAAAGTTATTTACATTTGCCATAATGATCTACAATGGCAAGAATATTGCTGGCTTTTGTTTTGATCCCGAAAATTTCTTAGTTCAAATTTATATGATTTTACATTTGAGAACAGAGTAATATTTTATAATATACATTAAATAGTTCAAATTAAAATGAAGCATTCACAGGTGATAATTCAAACATTACTTACCTTAAGTATAAAGTCTAAATTATCCAAAGCCGTAGAAGCTGTGCGAAAATGTCTCTCAGATTGAAATGTATCCTTCTTTTCCAGGTACAGTTTTTTGTTATTTACAACCTGCTTAAGCCATTGATATGTATACGGTATCTGAAGTCTTTGATATGCTATAAACTTTATTAATTCAACAACAATGTGCCCGCAAGACGTTGACGTTAATTGATCACCAATATTCAAATTGATGATTATCGGCGTTAATAAGTTTGAATTCATATTGAACAATTTACATATAAAATATAAGTTACAAATATAGTATGAACTTAATTTATATCATACAAAAAATTAGTTTAATTTTGAATCTTGAAAAAATTAACGGTTTACGCCACAGATAGACATAATATCATATCAATTAAGCTTAAAGCTATCTCGAAAAGCACAGATTCTAGAAATGTGAAAATTGGGCTTTAGCCCGCCAGCTACGTTCTTTTTTTTGGCGATAACTTCGGGGAAAGGGACGGACTTCCTATACTATAAAAGTTGATGTAAATTGTTTATATGATAAACTACAAATTATGTCCAAGTAAATGTACCGAAAAAAAAATTATGCTAAAATTATTCACCTAGAAACAAGGTAAATGTCGACACAAACGTTGTTCTGTGAACTAAAAAACCAAATTTTAAAGTTTATTTTCTGGCGCTCTTACAGTCGAAATTCTTTGTTAAAATAATTAATCAGGTAAGTACTAAAATCGTATGTAATACGAAGCGTAATGTAACGTGTTACACAGCGAGTGTTCCTGCAGTGAGTACGGGGAAAGAAAACGCTAGCAGCGAGCAACGAGCCGCTTATGGTTCGCGGCGAGAGCTAAAATCCGTTGTCTAAGATTCCAAGTTCCAAGAAATGTTCTTGAATCCTCAAGGAGTAGGATTTTCTCATCAATACAGATATCTGGCTGGTGAGACAACTTTGTTAGAGTAAAAATTGTTATATTATTTTGTCCGACATCTTGACTGAGAGGGGCTTACTAATCTGGAGCACGGACAAGCAAAGAGTTCAAAATAAGCACGTTAAACGGATTTTAGCACATGGTGTAAGTAAAATGCTCGTTGCCAGTACCCAGCTTTAAAAGCATTCAGGTTACGGAAGCGAATAAAGAAACAACTTTGTCATAATGTCACTGCCAATATATTTTGGATCTAAATTTGATTTTGACATTTTAAAATACATATTTATGTCATTAACAATACGAATTTATTATAATAATCGTCGGGAATATTACGCTCAAATAAGATTTGAAACTTACCACTATCAAGATATAATGTTTTATTTACAAAATATGTTACGAGTTCACCTTAGAAGGCAATTAGCACGGCGTTTGTATGCTAAAGAAGTAAAATTTGGCCCAAACGGTAGAACTCTCATGTTACAAGGAGTTGATATACTCGCTGATGCTGTTGCCGTTACAATGGGACCCAAAGGTCGTAGCGTTATTTTAGAACAACCTTTTGGGCCACCAAAAATTACTAAAGATGGAGTTACAGTAGCCAAAACTATTGAATTGAAGGATAAGTTTCAAAACATTGGAGCAAAATTAGTTCAAAATGTAGCGAACAAGACAAATGATGACGTTGGAGATGGCACTACAACCGCTACTGTTTTAGCACGAGCTATAGCTAAGGAAGGATTTGAACACATTTCCAGAGGAGCTAATCCAATTGAAGTAAGAAAAGGAATCATATTAGCTGTAAACATAGTAACAGAGAAACTTAAATCAATGACAAAGTTAGTTAATACCTCACAAGAAATTGAACAAGTTGCAACAATTTCTGCAAATGGTGATAAAACTATAGGAAAACTTATCGCAGCTGCCATAAACAGGGTAGGTAAAGATGGCATTATAGCAGTTAAACAAGGAAAAAGTTTGTATGATGACTTAGAAGTAATTGATGGTATGTCATTGAAACAGGGTTATATCTCGCCATATTTTGTAAATTCGACAAAAGGTCCAAGAGTTGAGTATAATGACGTACTTGTTCTTTTTTCTGAAAAAAAAATTTTTAGTGCACAGCAAATTATTCCAGCATTAGAAGTTTCCTCTACACATAAAAAACCATTACTTATCATCGCTGAAGATTACGAAAGCGAAGTTTTATCAATCTTGGTTTTAAATAAATTAAAAATTGGGTTGCAAGTTGTAGCTGTGAAAGCCCCTGGTTTCGGAGAACATAGGAAAAATGTCTTAATAGATTTGGCAACCGCTACTGGTGGTGTGATTTTTGAAGATAATGAAAATTTAATAAGACTTGAAGACTGCCAATTGGAAAGTCTTGGAAGAGTTGGCGAAATAGTAATAACAAAAGATTCCTCGCTACTTCTAAAAGGGAAGGGAGATAAAATGGAGATAAAACAACGTATTGAAGAAATTCGATCTGAAATAGAGAAAACAAAAAGTGATTTTGAAAAAGAAAGAATGTTGGAACGGATTTCCAATTTAAATGGAGTGGTAGCTATTCTTTTCGTTGGAGGAAGCAGTGAAGTTGAGATAAATGAAAAAAAAGATCGCGTAAACGATGCTTTAAATGCAACGCGTGCGGCGATTGCAGAAGGAATAGTACCAGGAGGTGGCGTAGCATTATTACGATGTATTCCAGCTTTAGATAATATTAAATCGAAAAACTCAGATCAAGACATTGGTATTGCGATCATAAAAAAAGCCTTAATGACTCCGTGTTGGACAATAGCCAATAATGCTGGTTTTGAGGGATCTGTCATTGTATCTAAAGTGAAGACCATGGATACTGATTATGGATTCGACGCCTTGAATAACAAATATGTTAATTTGATTGAAAACGGTATAATTGATCCAACTAAAGTAGTAAGATGTGCACTGATTGATGCAAGCAGAATTGCATCCCTACTTACTACTGCTGAAGCTGTTATTTGTGATTCTTCAAAAGAAAAGCAGAAAAATATCGTGGGTCCTACAGATGACTTCTCTTACGCAGATACTTACTAAAACTAACTTGATCATTCGTTTGTAAGTTACGTGTATTAGAGTATGAACAATTGTCTAAAGAAGTACATTTTTGAATTTTAAAAACTATTATCTTTTATTTTTAAAAAACTAGTCTACCGTTTAATAGCAGGCTGATTCTCTGTATATAGTAACAGTTCTTATGTTTTCACTGCTGGATCTGTCTCCATCGAAATTTAATCATGATTTCAACAATTTAACGCTTTTCAGGTTAGTTTGTGTTGTTTTCTTTTACCTTCGATAATACTGGATTACCATTGGATATTTCCGTAGATTTCAAGCCTATACCAAAAATTTCAAGTTGCTAACTTATACGTAATTTAATGTAAATTAGCATTGTACAACTAGAAACAACAACAAACTATACTTACGCAACAAAATTACAACTACAATTCCCACACAAGACAACTATTGGTATGACTACGATCTGTGATAGTTGTTTCGGATTTGGGTGTTAGTCTACTAAAATTTGTAACAGAATATTCACTCTAATTCAGTCCACGGAGACTCATATCAAGAGTGACTAGTGGAACCAACATGTCCACGTAATTTTCAGTAAAATCATTTGCTCCTTCAACCTCGCTCTGATTTAGTCATTCTAATCCGTTATCGCTTGCACACAAAAGCTCAGTAGCTCGACGTGTGACAATCCTTGAGGGTCGCACTTTGCGCGCTGGTGCAGCTGGTGTACTATGAACCGCACGCCGATGCTCTGCGAGTCTTGTGATAGATGAAAAGTAGATACCGCATGTACTGCATCTCTTTCCTAGATCACCACATACACTTGGGCAATAGAGATCATAGGGATTTTTTAATATTTAATAAGCCTGATTAAGGCGCTGTATGCAGTAAAAATAGGGTTTTCAAAAAAATTTTTTAACAAAATCTATACATTTTTTAGAAGCAAAGAAATATATGTTAATATTGGTCTTACATTCTAATGGACCATTGTTTTCAAAACATACCTATTCTGGAAATATTTTCTCGATAGAAAAAATCACGAACCTAACTTTAAACGCGAAATTCAAATAAAAAAATAGATATAATAAATGAACAAATCTTAATGAAATTAATATCAGTGGTGTAGAATATATGAATAAAAAGGACTGTTGTCTTAATTTGTTGATTGATGTAAGTTATTTGTAAATATTAATTTAATTCATTAAAATTAATTCGATGGCCCAAACACCGCGCCACCGCGGCGTTGTTTCGGTTCTCTTCCAACTCCACAACTCAACAGAGAGCGCTGAGGCGCCTTGCTAGATGTATTTATGCCGCTCGTCGCCCGCTCACCGTTACGAAATATGTTTCGTATTTATTTATTATTGAGAGTTTTAATTTTATTGGACCTTCGAAAACACGAAACTAAAAAATATATATTCACATATTTCGTATTTATAAATTATTTGTATGTATTAACAGTTGTTAATTAATTTATTTAAAGCATAATTTCAACGTCTTATCTCGTCATTGATTGGTCTCTCAGTCCTATACATACAGTGTATAGGACCATCATTCTTTATGGATTGGGTTCAATACCCTAAATTTTTTGTTGTACTTATTGTTGATTTTCTTATTTGGAAGTATTTCTTAATTATTGTTGATTTTTTTATTTTCATAAATAATTACAACGAAATATTATTGTATTTGTTCAAATTTGTAACAGTTGGAGAACAATCTATCAGTAAATAAACAAACTTTTAGTGTTAAAAATTTTTAACGTCATCTTTTTTTTTATTTATTTATTTAATTGTTCACACTAAAACGAAAATTTATCTTATACACGAATAATAATCATTTTATATATTTTTTTATAATTTGTTTATTTCCCAAATTGAGCCATTTTATAAAATAAAAACAAAATAATTAGTCGGCTAACAAATTAAAAGTGAAAATAATATAAAAATACAATTCAACTCGATGAGTGGTTTGAACTTGGGACTACAGCAATAGTTTACCGTTGTGTATGACGCTCGGACCAACAGGCTACGCGAGGTCTGTGCAAAATGACAAAATATAGATTCTAGTTATAATTGCTGTCGTTTATCGATTCAAATAAGGATTTTATCGATTGTTTTTTAAATTTCATTTTAGTTGAAAAATTAATATAACATAGTAAGTCTTGAACATTTAAAGGATAAATTAAAATTCCTAATATATAAAAAAATTTAATAAAAAATGTTTATGAGCCTCTTCTTTAAAATCACAATATTAACCATAAAAACAAAAAATAATAATTATAAGTAATTTGCCTTTATTAATTTATTTGACTTTTAGATGTATTTTAATCAATTCCTTTTCCATTTAATTAAAAAAAATATTAAACAGGAAGAAGATTTAGAATGAACGTCGTAAAGCTTATAAAAATTTTTTTCGTATATAGCTGTTATAGACACTGGTGGTATATAACGCGCGCAGAGTAACAACCCAGAATGAAATGGAAAGAAAGATATATTTGCTCCAAATTGACGGCTGCCAAATCAAGTTTTCTGACAGCATCATTTTCATCATTCGATTTTTTTATCAAAACTAACACACCACCGCCACCCTTCTTATTGGACAAAATTAAGTTACGGTCACGTCGAAAAATATTATCCATTAGTTTGAATTTCAGAATCCAAAATTGAATCTGACAACCAAGTTTCAACCAAGACTATAATATGGTAATTGCAAGTAAGAGCGTAAAAATTAAGTAAGCGTGAAAATTATGTTACTTGTAAATAAAAAAATATATTATACAGCGTGTCGTTACCATCGCGACAATAAATGAACACACATATAGGGGATAACTTTTTAAAGTTGTATTAAACATTTAAATTCTTTAAACATCAATATTTACAGAGTTATTAAATTTTCCAAAACAAAGAATTTTAGAACACCCTTACCTATAAAAGCGTAACGTAAAGTTCATTTGTAAAGGTCACAAATCATATGAATGGGTTGAATAAATTTAAAAGAGACAAAACACACTGTTAGAAGGAGAGGCTTGTAATACGTCGCTGTGCGCGAGTTGTATAGGATGTTACAAATTTTGTTTCTTTTTTACTTAATTAGTTTGTTTGAAAAATATTTTTTTAAATTATGGATTTTGTTTAACGTTAATATTTTTTTATGATTATTGGCAAGTAGCGATAGACGTGTGTTCATTTATTGTCGCGATGGTAACGACACGCTGTATAATATGGAAAATGTTTAAGTAATTACAATGACAATCAAGATATAGTCATATTTTGTTTAAATCCATAGAATTTCGTACGTGAATTACCCGAGAATCATCATTCTTTCATAACAGGATACACCCATTTTTAATCCACACATTTACAGGATTCAGCCTTAGCTTGTTGCCGAGCGTTACTAAATAATATTGTATTCTTAAGTGTTAAGTGCTCGTTTATAGAAGCGCGTGCTTTGTGCTGCGGCGGCGGCACTGTTAGGGGAACAGAGAAGTTGGGCTGTCAATAAAGAACGGCGCGCACGCGCTGCAGCTATCACGTCGTCACGCAAACGCCGCGTAGTCAGCTGCAGCACAATATTTTTTGGACGGTGAACAGATCGGATGTTACTTTTCTTGAAGTAAACACCAATTTGCTTGCCAATCTCCATAGAGAGATGGATTAGGTTTTCAGTCTTTTTTTCAGGTATATTCTGTACTTCTACTATATTGCAGCTGCGTGAGGCTTGATCGAGTTCATCGAACTTAGTACTTAGTTTCTTTAGTTCTATCCGAAGCTCGCTGGTTTCATGTTTCAGAGACGCGTCCGTACCAGATGACGGAGCCACTATACCCTGCTCTAGGTCCTTGATGTGTTCTTCCCAGGTGACGACTCGTTTTTCAATTCTATCAATATCTTCTTTAACCATCCTTTTGGCAACTCAAATGACATTTAAAAGGTCATTTGACAGCTGGTTAATTTACTTCTACGATGATCAGTGTTTCAGAAACCGGGCGAAAGTATTTTATATCAATCTCAAACGACCGCGTTTCTATGTACTGCGCAACCGTTTCTAGTTACGTTACGTTTTGATATCGGACACATGCTTTATTTGCCAATTATTACATTGATTGACTTGCCCTAAAGGTCCTTGATACCGGGCCATAAAATCCAAAAAAAAGAATTGATTGAAGTTTGTTGTAGGCATGAGATATACCTGCAACATTCTATACCCGGCCTCAAAGGTACGGGTATCGCCGTATACCCGGTGCTAAAACCCAGTATCAAAATACCTATAGGTATTAGTTATGTTCAGGCCTCCTAATGGAGACCCGGTATGGAATTGAACCTTTCTTTGGTTGGAATTGGAACATTGAGATGTTTTTTTAGCAATCATTTTTTTTTAATTTGAGAATTAATCAGTCTAAATTAAGCTCCATCTTTACCAACGTAAAGAACCCTATTATAAAAAAAAAGTCATTCAAAATAAATATTACTATTTAATCTTATTACGCAATTATTTATCTACCTAATTGTAATAAATTAATAGAAATAAAGAATAAATTTATCTCAAGGAAACATTTGGTATAAAATGCCTAAATCATATGTTTCAATTCGGGCATGATCGGAAAGAGCCGCTGTAAGCGTTCGGGGAACTTCGTACCTATTCGGCCGGCGGGTTGTCGCGAGCGTATATACCGCCACCGTCGGACGAGGCGGCCATCCAGTCAGATAACAGCTACCGATCGAGCCGAGGTCCGGCCCTCTCGGGCACCCTCGAATCGGAATGCTAAACGCGTGCTGAGTGACAGCCCAAGCCGAGGTGGGCCCAAGGGGGGCCTTGAGCCAGATCACTCCATGGAGCCCCCGCCAAAGCGCCCTAAGAGCTAGGCGGCCTCCCAAACCGGTGAATTAAATAGCGTGACGGCCCGAGCCGAGGTTCCTTCGGGAGCCCTCGAGCTTAGTCACCATAACGCGTAATAGTAAATACGCGAGGTTCAGGCTAGGCGCCTCGAGCGCCCGGCCACCTCAAGTCCGTCGGATCTGTGAAGGCCCCTAAGGCCAACAGTGGCTCATCCAGCCCAAAAAAAAAAAAAAAAAAATAAAAATAAAAAAAAAAAAAAAAGAGGCGGCCATAGCCATACCTATCGGTGCGGGTATGGAACGGGCCTCTGCCGTACATACGTCATACCCGGTGTGCGGGCGGGTTGTCGCGAGCGTTATATACCGCCACCGTCGGACGAGGCGGCCATACCCAGCCATACCTATCGGGTATGGAACGGGCCTCTGCCGTACATACCCGGTGCGCGTACTGGCATGTTCATACTGGGTATTTATACCTGTTCCAGTATATACGCCTCATCCCTAGTTTGTTGACTGTTCTGTTTGACGGTAATCATTGTAGGCGCGAATTGTGATACGAATTTAGTTTTAGTGCAAAGAGTACCTACTTTTATAAATCTGTTTTACTTTTAGTGGTTTTTGTTTCGTGCGTTGTAATTAAGCGTGTGTAGCTTAACTCGGTCATTCATTTTTAGTAAATTAAATTGATTAAATACTTCGGAACATTAAAAATTGAAAAAAGACAGTCAACGTGCATAAACTATACAACTTTGAGAATGATTGCATACTATATTAAAAATTATAAGTTCTGCTGGAAAAATTATGACTGAAAAAGTGGACGTGCGGTCTAATTGTTTTAATATTAAACAACATATAATTGGAGAAGTTGTTAATTCGTTGTCTTTTAATAATTCATCGGATTTTTTATGGTATACAAAATAACAAATATAACGAAGAAATTACTTACACAAAATGTCTGATCCAATAACAAAGAAACGGTTACAAAGATTTTCTGAGAGTTCTAGTGAATGCGATGATAAAGAACTTCATGAACAGTTAGAAACAAATAGTAGTTCTATTCATTATAAATCGGATGGTAATGAAACAAACGACATAACTTTACAAAATATTAGAACTAAAAAAAGTAAATCAAGGATCAAAGCTTTATCTAGTAGTGAAAGTGACCATGATATGAAGGAAAAAAATGAAGTAAATCTAAGCAACAATTATGATTTAAGTAGAGTTGGAGACCGAAAAAAAAAGCTGAAAGCAAAGTTTGATAAATTAGTCTCTAAACAGCTAAAATTTAGTAACAACAAATCCAATAGTGATTACCAATCAAGTAGTGAACATGTAAGTCGGGATTCTGAAAATTCTGATGAGGAACTTTACTCATGTAAAAAAATTAAGAAGGTGATTATGAATTTTCTGTTGTTAATTGTATGTGAAATAAACAAACTCTGATTTAGAAAACTTTTTTATAGTACATTTGTTCTTTATTTTTGCAATTTTAACAGAATCTGCTTATAAGTACTAAATAAATAAAAGCAAATCTTCAAGATAAAATTACTAATTAAAAATATTTCATTTTCATAATTATGGAGGAATCAGGGTAAACGGTTTGGACATTGATATTACACAAATATAATTAAAATTGAATTTTAATTGAATTTTAAACAATAGAAAAAAATCACGAATGAATCAACAAGCAGAATTCACCGCACTTCTTTGTACTTCACTCACAACACATAAAAGTATAATATTTTCTATGTAATACTTTCCATTTCACACTAGTTCACTGTGAGGTCATGGTATTTCCCAACAAAAGCCTGCCCATTTGTGCAGCAGTTTGTGCTGTGTAACACTATTAACCCATCTTTGAATAAACACTCCGTTACTATTTATATTAATATTACCAGTTCTTTCCTACTACAGCTATGTGTTATGTTATGTTCAATGAAATTAATTTACACAACTTTATCTACTTTCAGAAACTTAAGAAGAAGCAGATGCTGCAATTGCCATCAATTTGTGATCCCGATACATCAGATGATGAAAGCATCATAAAACAAAATGAAAAGTCAAAAATGAAAACTTTGAGATTAATCTCACCCAAACCTGTGCGGGTTTGTAAAGAATTTTCCTAGCCTTTTTTCAAAACCTTCAAAAATTTACATTAAAGAGCATTGCTTTTATGCAAAAATTGCATAAAAGAGTCAATGCAGGAGAAATATACAACAATTCAGTTTTTATAAATGAAACTAATTTTTACGGATTTATCGCGTAAATACAAGAAATTCAGTTTTTAGTTTTGATAATAATATTTACACACTAATGATCTGAATAATGATTTTATTATATTGGTGCAGATTTTTACGGCCACACAACAGTCCTCACTGTTGAATGGGTAGGCCCATCCAGGGAAGGATCAATACCTCATAGAGCTCCAGCATGAAGTGGAAGTGTTATACTTCTTCCTATCGTCTGGTTAATGAGGCAACCACAGTCCACTTTATTAAAAGCATCTGCAATCCTACCATGTTTTAAATGTCCATCGGCAGTGGTTATCATTTGAAATCAGGTGAACCACCAGCTCGCTTGCTAGTCTCATATAAAAAAAGATTCATTCGCTTGCTAGTCTCATATAAAAAAAGATTCATAAAATATCATTAAATAAAAAAAAAATCAACTCTAATATTGATCTAAGAAACTCCTAAAAATGTAATAATTGCTTTTAATATTGGTTAGATATCAGCTAAGCAAGCAATGGAAAATATGCAAAAAATTAAAAGTGAAGCCAATCGAATGTTAAGAGAAAAAGATGTTTCACTTCCATACCATAAACCACGGGCATTATCACTAAAGGACATTATGAGTAGAAGGAAACCAGCATTGGCTCCAGATGGCAAGACCTTGTCAGTTAAAATGACAGCAGAACAATTAGAGCAATATGCGTAAGCTTTAAAAATATTGTATAAAATTTATTTTGATATGTAATACAAATAAAAATAAATATGTATTTGTAGCTTGCAGTTGGAACAAAGACAGAAAGAAATGATGGAATTATGTCGAAGTGATGAGGAAGAGGAAGAATGTACAGAAAATAAACAGGATAAAGATGCAAATGACTGTAATCATAAAGTAATAAATCAAGTGGATAATATTTCTACAACAGAAACAAACTCCAGTTTAATAAATTCAACTACAAATAGTTCTATAAAACCAAATGCTTTAAAGGATAATTTTAAAAATTGTATAATATCTGAAAGTTGTTTTGAAGATAATAAAGATGAAAATATAGTTACTGCTAATGATGAAACAAATAATGTATCAAATCAATCAAAATTTGTTTTCAATAATGAAAATGATAGTCAAGTGATGGAATTACATTATGATTCTGAGAAAATGAAGTCTAGCAATTTAAATGAATGTATTGAAAATGAAAGCACTGAATTTTTAAACATTTTTGATCAAGCAGGAACAATTCAAAGCAAAGATGATGTCTTTTTCGAACACAATTTTAATTTGAAAGACATTAATTCAATCAGGGATAGTATGGAAAATAATGGTATGTATATTCAAAATATTATTCCCATTATTTCAATTTTAACTTATAATAAAACTCATATGGTCAAAAAATATTTTTCAGATATGTGTCACAGTACAAGTAAACAAATAGTGGAGCCTCATTCCTTAAAAAAAAAGCCCATATTACTAGGAGCTCCAGGAACGGTTATAGATCTTGATAGCAATGATACTGTAAATGAAAAGAAACTCACAGGTGTTGAATTATTAAAAGAAAGGTTCCAATATTTTGCTAAACTACAATCATTAGAAGAACAAGAAAAGGATAGGGAGAAAAAGTGAGTAAAACAAGTTTATTTCAATAAATAAACTTAACAGATTTTATCTACTTTATAATTTTAAGTTCCGATATTAATCTTAAGTCAAAATTAAATGTAATTTGCTAAAGTAGTTTAATAAGTGTGCCTTATTTATAAGTGTTTTTATTTTTATGGTCAGATATAAACCTGGCGTACAACATTTAAAATTAAAACAAGAGTTAGAACAACTGATTGCAGAGCA